AATTATCCTTAAAAGAGTAAGTATAAGCTTTATAGTAGTTATAAGGGATAGTATTATAACCTCTAAAAGTTTAAATAAAGAAGCTATAAGATATTACTAAATAATTAGGATTAAGGACTTTAGTTACCTAAAGTTTATAATAAGTTATAAGGCTACTTATAATAAATATCTACTTATAGAGGAGGTTAAGAGAAGTATTTAGGTAGCTAACTATATATAATAGGTATTTTATACTTATTATATTTTATTAGAATTATTTTATAACCTGCTTTATAAATATAGAAAGTATAAATAGACTAAAGTTTACTTTATAGTATATATTATAAAGTTATAAGAGTTTAAGTTTATATTAGATAAAGCTTATAAGGGATTATAAAGAGACCTATTAGCTAAGTAGCTAAAGATAATAAGGATATATAATAAGAACTTATTATTAAGCTTAAGTTATTTAATATAATATAAAGAGGAGAGTTAGACTTTATATTAATAGGGTGCTTCTTAGAATTAGTTAGTAGTTAGAACTTATAATAAGCTAGAAAGTATTACTCTTAAAGCTAGTTAGTATTTTTAATTATAATAAGGGGAAGTATAAAAGACTTATTAGTTATTAAGAATATAAGCTTTATAGACCTAAAGTGTAATAATTATTTACTTAAGGGATAATATAGATAGGTTATTAATAAAAGAAGGAAACACTACTTTAATAGCTTATAGAAAGGATATAAATAGATAAGTAAGTAAGGTGATTAAAGCTATTAATTTAATAATAATTATACTTACTCTCTTATTTTAAGCTTTAATTTACTTTAATAGCTGTTTTTTATTTTATCTTTAATAAAATAAGTAATTATAGCTACTTACTTATATTTATAAATTACTACTATTTTACTTATAACCTCTACTTATAAACTTTAAGTAAATAACTATATAATTACTATTTATATCTATAAATTATTACTAAATAACTATTATATTAATTACTCTTATTTTCTCTATTTTTTAATATACTTTCTATATATTACTCTAATACTACTTTCTCCCCCCCTCTTTTCTTATCTTACTACTTATATATTATACTATAACTAATTATATCTATAAAGTATATATTAAACTTTTCTTAAGAATTACTATATCTTCACTTTTACTTAACCTAATTAGTATAATATCTATCTAAAAAAGAGCTTTTACTAAAAGCCTTATTAAGGCTTATAAGATTAAGTAACTTATTAAATCTAAGTAGACCTTTAGAATTCTAACTTAGTTATACTTTTAGGTTAATTATAAGAGAGATAAATTAATTAAATATATTAATAAAATAGCTGCTTAGTTAGAGCTTATATACTCTAATAATACTCCTTCCCCCTTTAATAAGAAACCTATCTTAACGCTTATATAGCTATAGCTAAGAGATATTAAGTTATAATAATATTTTCTAAATAGATAAGGATTAATAATAACCTATTTAAAATACTTATAGTTATACTTAAAGATATTTAAAAGTATTATAGGCGCTTATAACCTCTAAAGTATTATCCTTATTACTATTATACTAAGTAGTAGTAATATTACTAGAGGCTTTACTATAGCTATATATTATATTAGCTAGAGAGTTAGGCTAGCTTTAGGATCACCTAGAGACTTTTTATAAGCAGACTACCTTATAATTAAAGGTATATAATAATACTATTTTGCCCTCTTTATTAGATACTTTATAATACTATTTAGTAAAATAGACTAAGTATAAGCTAAAATACTACTAAATACTATAATAAAGTAGATATTTATATATAATAATTATTAGGAAGATAGAGAAGCTGAGAATAGATTTATTATAATCTTTAGGAATATTAAGTATTTTTTTATTAGCTTCTTATTATATTCCTAATAAGCTTTATTCTAATAGCTTATTATTTTAGATATCCTATAAGTTAGTTCTATTTAGTATTCTAAGGTGATTATACTTAACTACTTTAGGTATTTTAATAACTTTAGTAATCTTAATAGCTTAAATAGAGTAGTTAAGGATATATTAATAGAATAGGTTTAGCATATTATAATAGAATTTAATAAAGTCTTATAGTTATATAGGAATATAAGGTTTAAACTTTAAAAACCTACTAAAAAGCTGAGATTATTATAAGAACTAGTTAGTCTACTTACTTTAGATACTATTATAAGGTATAAGATACTATATAATAAGTACTTAAAGTATATTAATAAAGGAAAGCTTTTAAACCTACTAAGTGAGGAATAATTAGTATTATTAATACTAACTATTAAGTTTATATTAGTAAATAAACTTCTTAGAAGTAGTTATACTATTTAGGCTTAAGATATAAAAGAGGTAGTTATTATTAAGCTTAGAGTAGTAAGAAGGTAAAATATAGCTATCTCCTATATAAGACACTTTTTATAGTAATTTAAAAGAATAAGGTTAGTATATTAGTTACTTTATTTTATTAAAAGTATTTTTTTATAGATTTAATTTATCTTTAGAATTACTTAAAGTAGGCTTATATACTTTTATAGCCTTATTAGAGCTTTATAGCTTAGGGAAGTTAGATTCTATTAAGCTATAAAGTATTATAGTGATTTAAATCTTAGCTTAAAGAGTTCTTTATAGACCTAATTTACTACTAGTTTTAATAATTTTAGAAGATAGGCTAGCTAGAACCTTATTATATTACTTAAAATACTAATTAATTTATATAATACTTAAGGTATTTTCTATATAGAAGACTTCTTCTAAGTTAAATATCTTATTATACTAATATATTTTATTATAAGAGATATCTATTATAAGGTTTAGATTTACTTATTAAATACTATATTATAAGATACTAATTAAGAAGAAGGGAGAGCTATTAATATAGACCTCTTTATAAATAAATATAAAGATAACTTATAGAATTCTAATATAGTTATATATTTCTTATAAGTTAAGTAAAGCTACTTTATTTATTTAGTAGTAGATTAGACTAATAAGAAGAGCTATTTTATAGACTTAAGCTTTAGCTAGTAGAGTAATTAGGAGTTTATTAATACTATTAAAGCTTTTACTACTTAGTATAAGCTACTTAAAGTGCTTAATAACTTTATTATTATCTTATTATAATATACTTAAGTAGTTAATTTAGTATAATAACTTAATAGTTATAGTTATAAAGTTTACTATATTAATTAGGTTTACTACTTTATTATAAAAAGACTCCTTAATATTTACTTTAGTAGTAATATTATTACTAATAAAAGCTTTTATTACTAAGACTTTTTACTTCTAGTTAGTAAGTATAAGTTATAGATTACTACTAAGTTTTATAAATATAAATTAATTTATAAAAATCCTTTACTCTACTTTATAATATAGATAGTAGTAGCTTACTTAAGTAAGATAGCTAAAAATAGAGCTATATAGCTATCTCTAAAGTAACTTCTTAAGCTACCCCTACTAATAAGCCTATTTTAGAGTTTTATAATAGTAATCTTACTCTTATTAACTACTTTATCTTTATTAGAAAGCTTAGCTACTAGCTTTTTAATCTTAGAGGGATATAGTAATTATAGTAAACTTATATTTATAACTCTTTATTATAGAAGTTCTATTTTATTATTATATAAGTTTTTAGCTCCTCTTTAGGGTTTTATAACTATTAATAACTATTCTATTTACCTTCCTAAATAGCTTATTTTAAAGCTAGAAGTAGTTAGTTAAGTAATATATATTAACTAGTATATTAATCTTTAAGCCTAAATAGAGGCTTATATACTACTTAAGACTTATACTTATAGATTTTTAAAACTTAGAGGATAAGAAGGATAAGTATACTATAGACTTAGATTTAAATAGGATACTATTTATATAGGAGAGGTAAGAGAAGAATAAGATTATAGGAATATATATTATAGGTTCTATTAGTAAGTATAGTATTTTTATATATATATAAAGATATAGGGAATTATTTTCTAGCTTAGAAAGCTAAGAGGGAAGATAATTAGGGATAATTAGAATAGGGTTTAGTAAGCTTATTAGATTTTTTTAGTATTTTTAGCGTTTAGAGGTTAGATTATTAGCCCTCTTTAAGGGGTAAGAAGTTAGTTTAGTTATAATTATTATCTTTATAGAAATAAGAGGCTTAATCTATTTATTTTTTAGTAGATTTTTAAGCTTTTTATTTTATTCTTTTTATTTTAGATCTATAAAGAACGTAAAGAGTCTTTTCCTTTTTCTTTTAAGATTATAGGCCTTAAAACTATAAAGTTACGTAGTTAAGGCGGCTCTACGCGCCTTTAGGCGCGTACGCACTGCTGTGCTGCATAGCTCTCAGCCACCTGGCCTACGACCATTTCAGTACCACACCCGCCTTCTTAGATTAGACCTAGGGCAGAGTCTGCGAAAAGACCTTATGGAACGCTTCGTGCGGCGGTGCTTATATTACTTACGGTACCGACGACTCTCCAGATGGTGGGCAAAGGATACAGAAAGCGTCGAAAACACTCGCATGTCGGACAAGAAGGCCTACCAAAATACCGTCCTGATCGCCGAGGTGATTTCTCGATTCTTCATGGCCGGGTTGGTCGGAATCTTCGTGGTGATCCCCTTGGCGACACTTTCATACCAGAATAGTAAAGAAGTGCAGTTGGGCGTTATAGCAGCATGTGTTGTGACATTCTCATGCCTAGTGTCTGCCTTTCTAAAAGTCAGCAGCGTGGAGATGATGATGGTGACAACTGCTTATGGCGCAATTCTCACTGTTTTCATGTCAAACGTTTGAAGAAGATCTCATTCGGTCGGGAAAAGTCACAGGGAAACATTATAACTTTCAGTAATCAACCATACTTATATATTGATTCACATTCCCACTTAATCGTGACTTTGAATGGACTTCATCCGTGAATTGAACTGGACTCAACATTCTCGTCCCTGAGACTCCCAGCTGTCTTGTCTCAGTAAATATGCCTGTCGTGTGCATTTCGACATAGGACAAAACCTCAGATGAGGTTCACTTGTCCGTGGCGGGTTTCGACATGTCGATTCCCAACAGGGCGCCTCCGATTTGGAAGCCGAATTTGTCCGGCCCAAAGTTCCACCTCTTGTCGGCATCGTCTCCGGAGCTGCCATTTTGGGCCTGGGAGGACGATATCTGTGTTTCAACACGATAATCCTCGCCTGAGACGACTTTCATTCCTCGAGGCTTGAAAAACGTTTCATTCCATCGAGCGAGCTCCTCGCGCATGCGGCTGATTTGCTCCTCGTATTCAGGGCCTTGCGTAGCCGCCGGTGGCTGCTGCCCTTTCGAATCCGCTGGAAGGGGTGTGCCGCCGGTGGTATCAGAACGCCCGGCTCTGACGAGGCTTGAGGTAAAAGCAGCCCAGTCTTCATGTTGGATGTCGCGACTTAGCCACAACGCCGAGGGCTCAGGGTAAGCGAAGGTGAATGGTGCTGATCCTGGGATGAGGTTGATAAAATGTGCCGTTACTTCCGAAGGCAATGGAAAAGGTGGGGGTCGATTGATCGGTTGCGTAGCAGTGTCTGCAACGTAGGGAGGAGGTGGAACGTCCTCGCTGGCCATGGTATCTTGTGGTAGGGCTTTCTGTGGATGCGGATGAAAGTTGAGAGTTTGAGGTAATTGCTTCTCGAGAGAATTGAGAAGAATGACCGGCTTGGCGGCCCAATAAGTAGTCTTCTGGGCTGAAGGTCCAGACTCAAGGATGGTACCATTCATACTTGAAGCTAAACTCTTTGAAGTTATCACCTTCCTCATTCTGTTGGTTTGTTGGTCTGTTGGTGCAGGCCACATCAGCTCGTGGCGAACCTAAGTGCTGTGCCGCAGTTCACAGGATAGCTGATAGAGGGCCCCTCATCGAGCTAATGTCGCATGATAAGACCATTCGGCCTGTTTCGGGTGGTAGAATGCAAAGTCATAAATGAACACTTACTTCACTGACCTTGCACCATTTTGAAATAGACCGCAAGGGATTCAACATTCCGCTTGTCGTAATTGGCAAGAAGACTAGTCTGTGGGAAGATAGCCGTAGAGTGATCTATTTCATCCTGAATCGTTAAGTGTATGTGCATTAGCTACTTGAGAGTTCTTGTGACAGACGGCAGCCCAGTTCCCCTAAGACGGTTCCATCCAATCATAATCACTACAGCGAATTCATCTAAGAGAACCGAATGACAACTTTGTTCTCCAAGTGATCACTATACCGACGGTAGTACTCCGGGGCCTCCTCAATTCCAATTTCAGCCGTGACAACGAAGCTCGGCTTGGCGACCCCAGACGCGATCAAGTCGAGTAAAGGCGGTGCCTGAATCAAGGGCAGAACGATACCGCTTCCGACGGACAAGCTCTTCCTCCACAGTGAGGCGACCGGTACGGCAATATCCGCAGGTAACGTTCCTGCGTAAGGTGCCCCTTCCGTGCTGTTCGCCCCGCCGTTATAGACGCCGCCAATTCCCATTCCTCCATAGGAGGCGGTGACTGCGACCATGTTTTCTAGCACAATCCCATTGTGGGGTCCTCCGGTAGCATTGACAGATTCAAATCCTACACAGTCAACGCTGCGAGCGACGCCATCAGGTTCTTGTCTAAGGATAGCCCCGACAGGATCCTCCTGAGAGAAATCGATGGGGATGGCACCGATAGACTGGGCTTGCTCAAGGCGGCTAGCGATGCGATCAACAACATACACTCTGGAAGCACCGCGCAGCTTGGCAGAGTAAGCAGACAAGAGGCCAACGGGACCGGCGCCAAAGATCGCAACTGTATCTCCAGCTCGGAATCCCGAGTATGTAAGTGCATGCCATCCGGTTGTGAACACATCCGCTATCATGAGATAGTCGAGCTCGGCGGTGGTGTTGGTGGAGTTGATCGGAATTGGAATGACTGATTGGTCGGCAAAGGGGACTCTCGCGTATTCAGCTTGTCAGTGGGCAAGTATGGTCAGCTTTGACAGTTCTTTTGAAAAGATGACATTTCTCGTATTTTAAAAGTAAGAACGTTATGCGGATGCAAACTTACCTTGCAGGCCGCCGTAGTTTGGGTTACCAACGCCGAAAGACAGAGGATGAGAAGGACCCCAATGGCCATCGTCAGCGTTATCTGGGATAATGACATAGTCGCCAACCGAGAGGGATGTCACAGAATCCCCGATGCTCGAGATGTAGCCCACGGCTTCGTGCCCAAACCCATAGGGAACTTCGGGAGAGCCACCAAATCCATGATACATGTGGAGATCTGACCCGCAGATGGCGGAAGAGGTGATCCGGACGACAACATCTGTTTGGTTGACGATAGCTGGTACGGGCAGGTTGATGACAGAGACATTGTAAGGCTGGCCGAACCAAGCAACGCCTCTCATCATGATTGAATCCGTTACATTGAGCGCCATGGTCGTTAGAGCAAGTCGTTGTTTTCAGGGGTTCGTTCACGGTGACAGACGTGTGCGTGACTGGCTCGACAACTTGAGAGGATGCTGATGTTTAGGTTGCTTTGAATTGTGAGGATTGAGTAGCACGCATATGGCATTTTTATACGTCTATATCGCCAAGAGCTGCTTGCTTTAGTATGCAATAATGAATATGACAAGATACCGGATTTCCATCATGATAGCAGCTATTGTCCGCGACATGCTGACTACCACAAGCGCCACGTATGCATGATCGCCAGCCGATGCTCTAGTGTCTTCATGGGCACACCCTTCTACAGTTATCGTGGCCTGTTCTGAGGTTGACTGCGGTACGAAATCTTGCCCGTACCGTAGAAGAGGAGAAGTCCATGCTGGCTGCTGACGCGGGGTTAAGCATAACTCCTTAGGATGTGGAGTGATAAGTTACATACACTCACTGACATCTTCTTAGCTTGAAAAAGCGAAGAGAAAGACTGGGGTTTGACCCACTATTGATAACTATTGTCTAGCGATTAATTACGCGTCCTAGGCAGTGCAAACGTCAACACAGAGGTCTTGTCATACCCGCGTTGTCGTTGTTTTCTTGATTCTTACAGTCTACGGGTTCAAAACGGGAGTTTCGACCGGTTCCGTGAGGAACTACATGCTCACAAACCCGAATCTCCGGCGTGGCCATGACCACTCACCCTCTCCTCCATTGAGCGCTGCAAAAACAGCGGATAGTTGCATTGGACAGGGTCTTAGTACCGCACGCAATGAGTTTGGATCATTTTAGACAGAGTCGCCTCTGTCTAGGCACCTACTTCAGAAATGGGAGGCCCAATTGTGTTCGATAACTGCCAAATACGCGCTTTGTTTCCAAGGCCTCCAACATGACATTCAGGTTTTAATTAAGGCTAGGTTATTGCACGGCGCGTGGGGGTAAGTTCTTCGATGCAAAGTTTGCCAACCTATTGGTCCCATGATCAGCATGCAGACTGTGGTATAGTCAATAGCATATCGCTGCATACCTGCAAATACAGAACACGCAATCTGAAATTCTGTAGCATTCGCAAGAGAATTATCATTCCGTGATGCCTGGTGAACTAACTACTAAGTTACTGAGATTATCAGTCTTAAGCCCACAATACGTCGTTGAGTACGTAGCTCGTGGAGGACGCTTTGTTTGATGATTGTACCATCGGATCTCTTCACACCTTGAGAGGGGCGGTAAGGGTTCAGTAATCAGCCAAAGCGCTTGGTTTTGGAATAACGAAAGACATCCTATGGAAGCTAACCACGGCCAATCGCCGGAGAAAACGCTCCTCAAACCAAGCATAAGGTAAGCTAAACCCATTCAATGTCGAAAAAAAAAATGTTCCCCCGATGTGCTGTCTCACGGGATGACGTATCGCTGACCAGAGTCTGGCATGCCGCGGCTACTCTGCGACCGGGGTTTGCGCTATTGGCTGGGCTAATGATGCAACTTTGCCAAGAGCCGCCTTAATAGGGCTGCAAAATCGGCGCGCAGAATCTAGCTTAGCACAGCAGCCGCGATCTAGGTAACATCGACAGCCGATGTTCACCCAAGAATGTTCCATTTTGCCTTGGAGAAAACCAGCGACTCTAACGCTCTGAAGCCGACGTCTTACATGTGACCCATGTTGGTGCTGCAACGCACGACCAGTTCTTCTGCCCCTGTCTGCCCTGTAAACGAAGCGAATCCCGACCCGCCCCCTGCGAACGTGGCTTCGAACAATGACATCAATATGTCGAACAGGATTTGCGCTCCTGGGCGCTGAGGCGTCATCTTTCCGACGGATGAACTGCTCCATAATGTTAGGAGGATCTGCGCTAGTGACCAATCATTCTGCGAGATAGAGGTCACGTCGATCGTAGCGCAGCCACATCAGGGAGCTTGAGGTGCTGTCGCGTACGCGTTAATTACCCCTTGCCTGTGAGATCAAGCGAGATCCACATGCGCCTGTGGGTTGACTTCCCTTGAACAACACCTGAACTTATCAGAGTCGCGGTTCTCTTTTGTGAACAGTCCCTCAGTCACATAGTCTCGAGAAGAACAAGACGAAAATGACGAACCTGCCGACAATAACACTCGACACCACGCTCGCCGACCTCTACCGGCGAGCGAGCCCAAAGAATGCGAACAAAAAGATAGCGCAAGTTCTCTGCGGAATCAACTCCGCCTCCGAGCTTAGCGCCAACGTCCCTCGAAACGCGAAATACTTGTATCAGGACAGCCCTTTCAACTCGATTCCAAAAGAGGGATCAGCCAACGGCCACGCGGGGGACAAGAAGCAGCAGCAAGAGCTGGCCGTCAAGTATCTATCATTGATACCGCAGCGCGACGCCTTCATCAGCGGCGACACGGCTGTTGTCCTCTTCAACATCGATGAGACGGAGAAGCAAAAGGCCCATGACAAAGATGAAGCCCACAAGACCATTTCAGTTCTCGCCAAAAACCAACGGCCAGATCTCATTTTCTGCCCCGGCCCATCAAAGATTCCCATTAAGGACGCTGGTATCGACCTAATTGCATACAAGTTGGTTCTAGATGGCTTGGAAGACTATGACCTCATTGTCCCACCTGAGACGCACTGGTTCCTCAACTCAAAAGCCGCCCTGGCCGAGTCTGGGCTGCCGACGCCCAAGTCGAAGATTGTGGAGCTTGATGGACTCGCAGGAGAGGCACGACTGTGCTGCACGCTGTGCAAAGGTGACACGGCGGAGTTCGTCATTCCTCAAGCCTGCTCAGGTGCTCGAGGTGAATGGTTTGAAAAGCAGAGCGAAAAGATCTTTGCCGACCTCAAGGCGCATCCCCTTCCGTTCGTGCTCAAGAACCAACAAACGTTTGGTGGGGCGGGCACCTACATCATCAATACCAAAGAAGACCGAGAAAAGGTCGTGCAGGATTTCAGGGACGGCATCCTTCGGAAACTACTGTCTTCAGTCACAGATTCCAATGTCCACCTGCGCCCTGCAGCGCTTGTACTATCGGACCTGGTTGAGAACCCCGTTGGAGATTATGGTCTGACGTTTTTCGTCACTGACGACGGGAGCGACCCCATTTTTCTCGCGGCTTCGGAGCAAATGATTGATGACAACAAGGCCTGGATTGGTAGCACGATCAACTATGCTCGACAGGACGAGTTGAAGAGGAAGTTTGGCGCTCTGGTCAAGAAGATTGCAGTTTGGCTAAGGAGCCATGGTTACGTTGGACCCGCTGGGGCTGACGTTCTTGAAACGGCACCAACGACAAACGGACCAAAGCCAAACGGCCACACAGCAAACGGTTCAAGACAGGAAGAAGACTTTT